TTTAGGAAAGTGTGGAAAATATAAATTATAAGAATGCTGTAAAACACACAGTAATCAAACCGTAAGTATTGTGTTTATTTTTAGTTCTGAATATAATATATTAGTTTGTMATCATTATGCCATATTATTATAAAGATGTAATTAAAAATGTATTATTATATTTTTATAAAAAAATACTATGGGATTTAAGAATGTATGGTCGATCAGTTGTTTAATGATTTTAATCAAATATATTTGATATTTATTTATTACAATTTTTGAAGGTTTGATTTTGACTTGGAAATGTCAGACATTTACAAAATGCTTGTAAGTTTAACATCAAATAATGTAGARAATACAAATAGCAATAAAAAGAATGATCCAAAAATATCAAGTATTGATTGGGAAATTCAAAAGGTTTGAAAATTACTGTTCTATAACAGAGTGGATTAAAAATAAAAGTAACATAAAATATTTTGAACACATGACCCCATATTTTATTGGTATTTTTTAATTACATAGACTTYTTTTTTTTTTWAAATAAGAGTAATATTATGTATTTTATGCAGTAAATAACCATAAATAAAATTCAGGGTTTTCCAGTCATGTGCTTGAAATATTTGCTGTTCCTTTAGTTAGATTTAACATCCAATGTATATATATTTTTTTTTTATCTTTCTAGTCACATTATACACATATTTATTGAATATATTTTCCATTGCAGTTGCATGATATACAAAAAAGAATTTCACAGTTGAAAATGCACATGATCTAATAAAAGAAGCCAAGAATGAGAAGAAATAACTTCAATACCAATTAAAATAAAATAATTTTTTATTTATTTTACATTTTTTACAATAACCTTGTATCAGTTATTAATTTATAGATTTCTAACTGATCGTAGATACAAATAGACTTAAATATTTTGCGAAACTTTAAACCAGGAAAATATACACCATAAGGATTGTACATTTGTTATTGCTATTAGGTTCATTTACTCTATATGTGTTTAAATATCACTTAAATAAAATCAATTCACAACACTCAATTTTAAAACAATAATCCAAGTATAAATTATTTTATTTTATAGTCAAAATTTATTCTTACTATTATATTTTATTGAAAAGTTCACAATTAATATGTAACTTTTATATTCTATTTTATAGATAAACAACAAATCTTATCTTAATGTTGATTATGTAAAATTATAAACTCTGTTCAGCAAGAGAACATTTCAATTATATGCATCCCCATTTAACACCAATTCCACAATGGGAGGTGTTGCATGGGAGTGCTTATTTTTGTAGGAAAACGGCAAGATTTTAACAGAGTATAGAATTAATTGTAAATATAACACACGTTATATATTATTATTTACCATTTATTAAATCACTAACTAATAAAATATTATTAACAGATACTTTTGAACATTTAAATGTTGTATTTTTTGACTTTGGGTTAAAAATATTTGAAAAATTTAATTTTTACTTGACCTTCAGAATTTTACTTTTCAATGATTTTTTCTGATATAAATTATTGTATAATGTATAAACTAATAATAATAAAAAAAAATTCATCATCMACCTATTTAAACTTAAATTAATAGTCCATTATTCAGTATAAAATACTAAGGATGTGTTAAGATAAAAATATTAACAATTAATTACATTTTGGAAAAACTTATTTCAGTATGAAATTATTAAGACATTTAACTATATGATAAGACAATTCTATGGAAGATATCTATTATCCCACTGGCATACATCAAWGTATATTTTTATTTTAAGTAACTTTTATAAGACAAGACACTATATCTGAAAATCTTTGTAACTATTGCAATACATATTAATTTGATAAATAAATACGAAAAATATATGTCTGAATGAATTTATTATAATTATTTGTATTAATATACTATATAAATACATAAAATAAAAGATTTACAAAAAATTGATTTGTATAATGCACTGTATCGTTGAAATGAAAAATGAATTTATTCAAATGGAAATTGGAAAAGCAAAAGAGAGATCGATTCAGTTTTATTAAACGGTATTTAACTTATATTGTTCCAGTAAATAATCCTGGTGGTTTATTATATTCCTCATAATTTCAGCTGTTAGTATTTTTTATCCAGTCCACAAACTCGTCTAACATAACAGGCCCTATAAATAAAAATATACATTTTAAAATAGTAGAGTAAGTAAATAAAACAAAAAATAATAACTATATCCAATTTTTTAATATAGAATGTGCTTTTACAACGGTATATAGTTTATTGAGACACCAATAAAAATTATTGAGTCATATTTAGTTTAAAATTCAGTGGTTAAAATTAACTCATTGATCATAAATATAATTGTATAAAATCTATTAATTAGATTAATAAATTAATAATAAAAAATGTATAAAATATCTGTTTGTTTGACTAACCAGACATTTACTTTACATTTTAATTTTTAATTATCAAAGTTGGTAATCTACTACCTAGTTTATAAAACTAACGGTTTTATTAAATGGATTAGATAGTTTTACATAGAACGTAAAAATATTTAATTTGAATAAATATGTAGAGAATCGAATGATATAAAACTTACATGCTCCATCTATGTCATAATTTGACAAATCTGTAGAGATAGATCGTGAGAATTCTAATATATTGCACCATTGGTCTTTATTAATAACTCTATACTTTGATTGATCTATAAATTTAGCAAATAAATTGTRAAGTTTCCATTGTTTTCCAAGTAATAAATTCAGCATTAATTTTGCAGTTTCTATGTCCATACTTCGTTGATCTTTATCCTTAAAAAAGTAAAAAATAAACTTATTTACATTTAGATTAAAAACAATACAAATTTAATAATCATTTAAATAAGTTAAAAATTACTAAAAAAGGAAATAACAATTTTTTTTCTGCCATCATAATAATCATATAAATTAGATATCTATAAATAGTTACAAATAATAATTATTTTATCATATTAAAAGTAAAACTTACTCTAGCAAAATCATATGCATATCTATAGATACTTTTGAATGCTAACGGATCATTAAAATACAACCTCAAAGAATCCAATTTACTTTGAAGTTTTTTAACTGAATCACACCTGCCATCAAAAAACATTTTATTAATTATTAATTACATAGATATTTAAAAAAATATATAAATCAAAATATTTACTGCAATTCAGTAAGACCCTTTAACCATTCAGCACTTGAAAAATACCCCATTGATTTAGCATTCATTTTCCAAGCCAAAACAAGCATTACTAAATCTTCTGGGTCAACCCCAATATCCATACAAAATTTTTCCATGCCTTCAGGACCTTGAAATAATTCAAATACATATATGGATAAAATCAAAGTTTCAAAAATGCATTATTCTTTCCTTTTTATAAGTACCTAGTTCACCGACATCATTTGTATATTTGTGATACCATGAGAGACATTTTTTATGATTAAAAACCATYATTTCATCAAGATGAGTTCTTTGTGCACTGAAAATTATAAAAACATATTGAAATTTTGAAAATATACAATCAAGTARTGTATGATTATAGTTGTCGATTAATTTCAACTCACCTAGTATAACGACGTTTTGGAACCGAAGCATTTTCAGCAGTATTTATTTCTGTTGTACTACGTCGTTTCCTTGCCATCATTTAGATAATTCTTAACTTAATTCATAAACCTGAAAAAGTAAGACTCACATTAAACAAAACATATTATATCTTATAGAAATGTAGGAGATTGGGATTGTAGACAATAATTATCATATTAACAGGAAGTTAACATTTTTATATAGTCGAGATATTGGAATGCATAAATATCAATACTTGCCATAATTAGCAAGTGAATTATTTCAAATKTTCACATTGCATTGTAGTTGCCTATCATTAAAAATAATTTTATTGCGAGTTATTTTTGCACCGTTCAGTTTTCTTAYAATTGTTTTGTCATTATTAGAAACAACTACTTAATATTCAACACTGAATAAAAAATGTTCACTTATACTTACGAGACAAATCTACTGTTATCTATTAAAAGTTGTCGTAGTGTATTTAAGCAGGATTAMGCTGTTGTTATTGTAGGTACAACGATCAGGAACTCGGGGATTTGTTGTTTTATATTGGAAACGATCCACAAATTTCTCGGTTATCATCAAAACGTTACAGATTGGACATGACTAGTTTCATTTTGTATATTAAAACTAAATAAAAACAATTGTTTTTAGATAGGTGTTTATGCTATTATAAATTTATCTCGTACCTGATTTTTTTATTTATAATTTAGTAAGATGTAAATTAATGTATTAAAGTTTAGTGTATAATGTGAAACGTAATAATTTAAACAGTTTAAAAGTAGTAGTACAGAATAGATTAAATCACAGAAATGTACCTAGTAGGATATTTTACTTATATACACTGTATGTCGAAATTCAATATATTTTAGAAAAAACTAAAAAAGGTACGATAAACTTTGCGATGGTTCTTGACCAACCATAAACCACATACCAAGACCAAACAATTTGGCTCTTGTGATTACGTTCATTATGATAAACATTATTATTATGATAAGACGTCTTTAAACTGATATGTACCCATTGAACTATATATGATATAGTTAGTATCATATAGTTCAATGTATGTACCAAAGTGGATTTTTCGTTACATATTATATACCGTGGTATAARTAATGTATTATTATTTTTGAAGTAATTAAAAATGTTTGATAATTTACCTTATAACATATTATACGAGAACATATTTTATGTTCATGAATATAAATAAAACTTAGCTAATGAATTAGACATTAGTCATATCATATTATTTACATAATATTATAAATATTATATTATACATATATATTATACATATTATTATTTGCATATTATTATTTATATATTTTATCTGATACGGTGATATTTGATAACAATGGTCAATGATAAACGGTATAATGACGTCATGAACGGTGAAACATTATTTCTGCATTCTGCTACTGCCTACTTTACCATTTGTTTGGGTAGTTTGGGTTTGGGCTCTAAACTTCGAAGCGCTAGTGTAGGCAGTGTAGCCTGAAATCATAATTTTGACTTTCTATATCTTGTATTCGTATGGTATATACAATTCATCCTAACATTCCTAACGTAGTAACGTCTAACTTGCGGGCCCTTTCCCAGGTACATGCTGTACATAAAAGTATTGTAGAATTACGTTTCGTTTTATAAAATTCAGCGACCGAAATGGGTTTATGAGGTCTAGGTACAACGATTCTTTTAAACTCACGAATCTTGTTTTCGTTCAGCAATTATCATATTAACTAAACTATTATTAAATAAATTAGTATAGATCGTTGTGTACATAATTTGACATAAAAACTAGATTAAAATAAGTTATTTCGGTTTTTTTTTTTCATCTAAAATATGTCTCAAATAAAGGTAAGCTATGATTTTATTTATTAATAATTTTTGATTTTCTATTATTGTTTATACTTTTTGCTTGGAAAAATTTTTATTGAGACTGCTATCCTATTATTCACTGTGTTCTCGTAACAAAATACTCGCTCATTAGATAATAATAACTTGCGTTGTGTTGCAATTTTATTTACATGATCTAATAATTTAYTTATTTTGAATGTACATAATAAAAATCATTAATACTTTTCATACATCATACATGTTATTTGTTTCACTTAAAAATAATATTAAACTTAAGTTACTTTCATAAATATAAAAGAAAACTATCAACCGATTATTTTAGACTGATAAGACAATAATACGATTTGAAGAAAAATGGCCAGAAATGAGACCCATTGTAATTAAACTATTACAACAAGAACCAGTAACTCAAAATGAATGGCAAAATTTATTTTATGCAGTTCACCTTGTATGTCTATGGGATGAACAAGGACCAATAAAAATGAGACAATTCCTAAAAACTGACATTATGGAATTCATAAAAAAAGCTCAACAAGTAAAATGTTTTTAAGCTATCTTAATGTTAAATTGTAATTTGAATTTATTTTGATAAAATGAAAAATAATTGCTCAAGATATTGTATTAAAAAAATATTATACTACTACTTTTATATTTTAATACTACCTAATGTAAATATTTTTGCTAATTATATTTTGTATTATTTTATTATTAAGAGAGTTATGGCCCATCAAGAAGATCAAGCTCTACTTAAAGCTTATATCACTGAGTGGAGAAAATTTTTTACTCAGTGTAATTATCTTCCAACACCTTTTAGACAACTAGAAAATTCTCTAACTGGAAAATCATCAATTGGTTTAAAAAAATGCAATGCTGATAAAGATTCTGTTGTCCGAAAGGTAAAGCTGATACTTCATGTAGTATATTGTATTTTAAACAAATTTATTTTGTGGTGGGTAAATTTAATATGT